ACCCTGGTAGCCTGAGGTCGAGGAGTCAGAGGCACATGGGCAGAGCTACTGCTTAGGAGGGAGAGCATCACTACAACTGGCAAAAGGAGATTTGCCTAATAACTGCAAAGCAACACCACTATCTCTTAAGGCACATCTCCATTTACTTTCCCCTCATTGGGGTCTTAAACCTAAAACTTTGTTCTGCTTCAGCATTACCCTTAACTATCTGTCAGGGCCTGAGAGCACCAGTAACAGCCCTCACCTGGGACCCTCATCCACACACCCTGCCTATGAACCCAGGAGCCACATCTAAGCTCAGGCTCTGGGCACCCAGACCTGTGGATGCTCCCTTCTGTCTTGGCTTGCTGGTGGGTTTTCTTGCACGGATGCTGGACCTACCTTGTATGTAGTCTCATTTTATCCTTGGCTGTGCTTCCTGGATGGACCTTGGACCTATGCTGTACCCTTGTCTTCAGTTCTGCCTACTGCTGTCCTGAGTGGGCTCCCTGGTACAGCTGAAGGACCCTGTCACAGTTACTAGTGACTTTGCACTGAATATGTGCAAAGCATCTGACACTGTCCCACATGACATCCTTGTCTCTAAATCAGAGAGACATGGATTTGATGGATGGAACACTCGGAGGATAAATTGCCTGGATGGTCACATTCAGAGAGTTGCGGTCAATGGCTCAATGTCCAAGTGGAGAGCAGTGATGAGTGACATTCTTCAGAGGTCGGTGTTGGGACCCGCACTGTTTAACATCTTTGTTGGCAACACGGACAGCGGCATTGAGTGCACCCTCAGCAAGCCTGCTGATGACACCAAGCTGTGTGGTGCGGTCAACAGGCTGGAGGGAAGGGATGACATCCAGAGAGACCTGGACAGGCTGGAGAGGTGGGCCCAGGCAAACCTCATGGAGTTCAACAAGGCCAAGTGCAAGGTCCTGCACATGGGTCAGGGCAATCCCAGGCACAAGTACAGGCTGGGTGAGGAGTGGACTGAGAGCAGCCCCAAGGAGAAGGACTTGGGGGTATCAGTGGATGGAAAACTGACTGTGAGCCAGCAATGTGTGCTCACAGCCCAGAAAGCCAACCGTGTCCTGGGCTGCATCAACAGAAGTGTGGCCAGCAGGTCGAGGGAGGGGATTCTCCCCCTCTACTCTGCTCTAATGAGACCCCCCCTGCAGTGCTGTGTCCAGCTCTGGGCCCCCAACATAAGAAGGACATGGACCTGCTCGAGTGGGTCCAGAGGAGGCCACAAAGATGATCGGGGGGCTGGAGCACCTCCCCTGTGAGGCCAGGCTGAGAGAGTTGGGGTTGTTCAGCCTGGAGAAGAGAAGGGTCCGGAGAGACCTTATAGCGGCCTGCCAGTGCTCACAGGGGGCTACAGGGAAGGTGGGGAGGGACTCTTTGTCAGGGGGTTGTAGTGATAGGATGAAGGGTAATGGTTTTAAACTAAAAGAAGGTAGATTTAGATATAAGGAAGAAATTATTTGCTATGAGGGTGGTGAGGCACTAGAAAACAGGTTGCCCAGAGCAGCTGTGGCTGCCCCCTCCCTGGAAGGGTTCAAGGCCGGGTTGGACGGGGCTGGGAGCACCCTGGGCTGGGGGAAGGTGTCCCTGCCCATGGCAGATCTTTAAGGTCCCTTCTGACCCAAACCATTCTACGATGTTACCTCGCCTCTGCTTGGGTACAGTGCGACTGTGCCCTGGCTGGAGGCAGCACTACCTGCACTGTGGTCTCTGCTACCTCCTGGCTTGTCCTCCCTTTAGGAACATCGGAGCTCTTGCTGCTCCCTGACACTATTTCTAGATTGTCAGGCAATCAACAATTGAGTGGGGGAAGCAGGAAAAGCGGAAAAGCCCAAGGAGGAACTGGAAGATGTCAGTCTTTGGGTCTTCCCATTGAAGTGTGCAAGACAGCAAAGGGAGAGATGGGGGGTGACAGGGAGAAGGGAGAAGCAATAGAGATTGAAGGAAGTAGAAGAATCAGCAGTGATTGCCCTGAAAGCTGAATTCATTTCCTCCCCCCACACCCCCTACACCCCCCACACCGGGTTTGACTATGAAAATTAACTCAAATAGCTGACAGAAGGCTAATTAACAGATAAAGTTTATCCTGTATTTCTGTGCCAACCTCCACTAACATTGGTGACAGAACTGCCCTAACCCCAGGTACAGTTCCAGGCCTTTATTTTAACCTGCTCTTCACATTTTACAACAATATTTGACCATCTCAGGAGACCAGGCTTTTCCATTGTTGAGCTTCAATACTCCTATTGTTTGGGCAGCTTTGGGGGTGGGGGAAGAATGCCCCAAGCTAACAGTAAGGCTCTTTCTCCAACCTGAAGTGCTGGATACTGAGAATATGTGTGTCTACTTTCTTTCTCAATGATCAGAAGGAGTTACTGCCAGCAGTACTTGATTCTCCAAAGCTTCCTGTTGGAGCAATTTGGTAGACTATTAAATTGCTCAAATTCACAGGAGAAATGAGTCCCCTGTGTTTTGGGGTTGGTTATTTCGTTGTTTTGGTTTGGTTTGTAATTATCACTCAGATCACCTATCAATACAAACTTGCACATAACCATTTGTCTGGAATAAAAAATCTCATTTCGCATTTTCTATGTCTCAACAGCTGCTTGGTACCATGGGCAATCGGAACGAAATCAGTGCCCTCATTCAGAACAGCAAGTTCTTCCATCTCCGGCTGCTTCACCACTTCTGCAGAGCTCTTTTGCAGACTTCTTTATTGCTGCCCTGTTTTGCTTAGACTGTCTGTGCTTCCCTGGTCACGCATGAATGTGCACATGTGTATGCATTATGTAAATGCACTAGTATTTAGAAGAAGGTTTAGAAAAGGCAGTTTGGGCTGATAAGAGCGTTTACCACATGAAAAGGCCAGAAACTTCAGCTTTCTGCTACAGAGATGATTTCCTACCTGCTTGTTTTGCATGTGTCTGCTCTGTCTTTCTTTTTTTCCCAAATACAACCCTTGCAGGAGAAGCCCTGCAGCTTAAATCCCCCCTCACCCCAGGGAAGAATTCAGCATTTTGAGTTTTCTCAGAATAGAGCTTCTTATTTTGACACTTCAAAAGTATTTCTTTCTAAAGGAGTCATGAGTCATATGAAAGAGCCTGAATGTACCCTTAAAAGTTTGGTGTCCTGGAAATCATTGCTTCAGCCTTTTGAATGTATTTGTATGCCCTGCCAGAATGGCTAGGAAAAAGTTTGGAAAGTGTAGGGGGCTCATGTTTTGACCCTGTTGTGTGACTTCGTAAGTGCAACCCAGTGGCATTCCTGTATTGCATCACTGCACAGCTGGAGCAGAGCAGTACCTGGTATGAATTCCATGCTAAAACTTAACAAAGTTTTGATCTTTGGTTAAATGCACTTAATTATAACCCTTTTGGTCTTCTGCAATGTAACCTCCAGAAAATCCAAGCCAGCCACGTGCTGATTAGCTGTTTGATACCTGACTGATTCAGTGCATGGGCAAAACTGAATCAGCTCATAGATCTCTGTTCGTACTGAATCTTCTGATCATGTACTTATCTATGCATTTTTATGCTTTAAAAGAAGTAAACAGAAAACTTTTCAGATGGTTAATCTGCTGTAAAATCTACAATGGAAGGCAACCTACAAAGAGCAAAAATAGACAACCTCCCACTACTACTTCTGACCCTGATATTACTGGCACCACCCTTTGGTGAGCTCCTTAAAGGCAGAAACTAGCAGCTGATATGGCATTCAGGCTAGGATCGTGTAGAAAAAAAAAAAAAAAAAAAAAAAAAGGGCATTTTATCTCAAAATGGATCCTGGGTCAAATTCATGGGACAGGTAATGAGGGGGACATATGTTTTACTACCAGAGTTAAAATTTTTCACATCTGCTCCCACTTTTCAGTAGGAATAAACAGCTTAACTTGTAATTTATTTTTTCTGTTATTTGTAAAATAGGGATGGCAATCACTTCCCAAGTGGTCTCTGTAAAAGTTCACTAAGTGCTTCAAGATTCTTGGAGAGGCTTCATAAGTAAGGTGTTCATTTCAGCGAGATTCATGTCAGAGAGACTTTCTTTGTGAGTAATCATCATTCACTTTTGGGAAAGCTTGTGGTGCAACTGGTTCCACTGAGTCTATTGAAGTGAAATCTTAAGAAATGTCAGTTTTCTGTTGTGTCCAAGATGGATGAATCATTCCTGATATGTTCCTAATTTCTGCAAAAACACCCTTTCTCAAAAATTATTTACTATGGTGCATGGTTTACACCATTTTCAGTGGCTCAGAGTGTTGATGGCACAGAACTCTTCAGCTTTTACATTTCCTAGTTCCCCTCGCCTCTTAGTTCAACCCTTAGAAAAATCATGAATTAATGCTAGCAAATGCACACCTTGGGCTCTGCGCTGCTGTGAGCAGTGCCAGCTATTGCTGTCGACAAACAGCCCCAGTCCTTCAGTAGCAGAAACCCCAATGCAAGGTGTTTCCTCCTTCCAAGGAGAGATGGCGAGGACTGGAAAAAGTCGCATAAAATATTTGAAATTTACGGCTGGTAGTCACACCCGAAGAGCCATGTGGTGATTTCCCCTACACACACACGCATTTCCATTTAAAGGAATTGTATTTTTTGCCCTCCGGTGATGGGTGATGGCAGCGTACAGCTGTACGGGCAGGGACCGAGAGGCGTAGCCGCTGCCGTGAGGGAGCGGACAAAGATGGCGGGCGTCCGGCCTTCTCCCTGATGGTTCTGCGCTTTCCACAGACTTTTGACAAAGAAGCTTAAAAAAAGTAATCCCCACACTCACAAGGGCGGGGAGTGCCTGCGATATCGGTAATGAAAACCGGCACCCAGAAAAAGCAGGGGGCTCCAGGTGAGGCCCTGAAGGAGGCAGGCCGGGACTGCCCGGCGAGGGCAGGGGAACCGCCTCAGGCCGGGAGACCCGCGGGCCGAGGGGACTGAGCGGGGCCGGCCGGGGAGTACGCGGGCGGGTGACAGCACAGCAAAGCCTTTGCGTGCCAGGCGGCCCGCCGGCGGGCGGCGGAGATCAGTCAGCGTCTCTCTCCCTTTCGCTCACAGCCCGCGGCCGGCGAGCGCTGACTCAGAGCGGCACCGCCGCCCCGACCCGCTTCGCACGCGATGCCGCCGGCCTCCCCCAAACCACCACCACCCCCCCCTCACCCTCCCGAACCACCCCGGCCCCGCTCCCGGCTCCGCCGCCGCGCCTCGCTGCTGCGCTCCCGCCCCGCTCGGGGCCGGGGCGGCGGCACGGCCGGGAGCGGCCCCGGCGCGCAGGTAGGCTCGGGCAGCGGAGAGGCGCGCTGCTGCCGCCGCGGCGTCTCCTCCCCTGCGCAGACACACACGTTTACTTCAGTATTTGGCCGGGGGGGGTGTGGGTGGGGGGGGGTGGGTTTTGGGAATTTGCGGTACCCCAAGACACCCACCCGCCCACCCCCTCCCGTCAGGCCCGCACCGCGGGGCTCGGGCAGGCGCGGCGGGGCCGGGCCGGCCCCGGGGCCCTGTTGTAGGCAGCGGGCAGGGGGTTTCTCCGGGCGGCCGGACACCACGAGCCCCGCCGGGGTCCCAAACCCCGCGCTGGGGCTGCTCGGGGAGGCGGGCAGAGGTGCCTGGGGGAAGGGAGGAACGGATTTATGGCAATAAACCCACTTTTTGGTGCGGCTGGGGCAGGGAAATCGCTCCCTCCTGGCCGGGGAGGGCCCAGCCGCAGAGCCGGTGGAAGGGTGTTTTGGCATGGGCCGAGTTGGGGTTGGGAGGCTGCAGCTGGGACGGTGTTGGGTGGGGAGGGTTTGAATGTTGTTTCCCTAATATGTAGAAAGACGGTTTTTCGCGTACGTTTGCCCGCTTACCTGCGTGCTTACCAGTGAGGCTGGAGTCCCTGCCACTTGGGTGTATAATGACTACGCCGTGCTTTTCAGATCCTAATGTTTTGTTTTGTTTTGTTTTTGTGCGGGTGTGTGTGTGTGAGAGAGTGTGCCAAATCGAATGATGCCATATTACAGAATTCCTCTTTACGCTTAGATGTGCGGGTGATAGGGGACTAGGTCACTTCTCAAAAAATGCTTTAAGAAGCATTCTTGGTTTTCCTGTTCAAAAACCTAGAAAATTGCACCACAGGTGCAAACTGTCTCGACAGTAGATGCGATAAAACTGCTTTATTAAAGATTCCTGGTGCCATAAATGCAACAGCATTAGTGCACCACAGCACCAGGGACCGTCCGTGTCTCCTGGGAGATGCACTAACCTGCTCACTGCCATGCCAGGAATGTATCTGAAAATGGTTTATAAGTTGCTATTATCCCCAAGTTGCACTGACTGCTGAAGATGTTAACAGCAGAATAAATATTTACAAGTACAGCTGAGATACGTGTCAGTGAAGAGCACAGATTTTTTATTTTCACAGTTTCCTATCTCCAAGCTTACAGTAGTGGCCTTGTTAAACAGGTTCATATATTGCATTGGAGGCTGCTTTATTCAGAATCCACATAAGAGGCAAAAGCTGCAGGTGCAAGAGAAAATGTGTAACTCGGTGTTTGAAAACAAGTAGATTAACTTCATTGCTTAGAACAACCGCTTCAAGATGATTATTTTTTTCCTAATTGTAACATTTTCTCTTCTCTCCAAAGGCTCCTTTGTCTCTTGCCTTTCTCTGGGGTGATGATGTTAAAAGTCCTGCCAGTGGAGTATCGCTGTCTTTGGAATGGAGTATGGACCCTCTCAGGTAACCTTCCCCACAGAGACATCTTCAAAATGCCGTGCTCAGGGAGAGCCCAGAGCTGTAAGACAGCTGGGGTGGCTGCGTGATCTGCAGGACTAATCTGTTTTCAGTTGTGGTCAGTAAAACGCAAAGTTATTTTTTAAAAAAAAAAGAAAAAAAAAAAACACATAAATGAAATGTTGTTAATAGTTGCAGGGAGTTGTATCCTTAGTTTAATGCTGTCTTTTGTTAAACTGCCACTGTAGCTGTTAGCTAATTCAGCATGTTAGGTTTCCCATGCTTCTGAGCTGCTTTGTTTGGCATGAAAGTGGGAAGTCTTGTATTTCTTCTTCTTGGGTGTCAAAAATTGTTGGAGTTACATATCTATACAGTTATTTTAGCAATTTAAGTAAGTAATTATGTCTTTTTTGGCAGGTAAAAACTTGCAGTGATTTTTGGATTTAAAACAAGTTTTTAATATTCTAATAAGGTTGATGCGATAGAAGTCATATTTTGTAAAAACAACTATGGTAGATAATGTTGGAGGGAGAGAATGCTAATTTTATTTGGAGTTATCCATTTTCCCAAATAGTACTTTAATACCTCAGAAGGATAAAGATCTACTATACTAAATCAGTGCAAACATACATGGCATGTGATACTTTAATTAATTTATTGAGAAGCAATGCTTCATCCAAAATAGTAATTCATCTGATTAACTTCTGTATTGGTAAAAACATTCTTTGTCCATATAAACTCTGTCCTTCTTCTGAGGACTTCTTACTAGCAGTTAGGTTTAAAATTTTTCCACTTCAATCGTAAGCACTTTTTGCTCTGTCATATATTATGTGGAGGGTGCACTGGGTGGCTGAATAAGGGAGGAAAAGAAATATTTCTGCACTGAATTGACTCAGTGTAGGTCAGTAATTTTTGCCAGCTCACGAGCAGGGTTAGAAATACTCTGCAGAAAATTGTCATCTGTCAACCTGGAGAAAAATGCTTGTGGCAAAAGACAAAAGACAAGAATACCCAGCACTGTTACAAGTCTTTTGGGCAACTCATTGGCAGCTGGCCACCACAGAGGGCTGGCAGGTAATGCAGACATTGCTAACTCATGTTATGTCGTAACACATAAAATCAAAATATAGAGCATGAAAGCACGAAGTTCTTCAGTACTCCAGAAGCACTTGCTCCCACAGGGTACCAGGTATCTTTGAATGAGTAAATCACAGACCTGACTTAGATAACTGAGCAAATGAAAAACCTATTTTTGAAGCATCTAAACTGGTATGTGGGAGCATGTCCATTTCCTGCGTGAACTGACAATCTGGTGATCCTCAAAGCCCATCAGCTTGCTTTTAAAATAGTTTGTTTCCCCCTCCTGTTTGCAAAGAAAGCATGTGGTTAAAGGGTAGTAAATCTACAAGTTCAAAAACAATTAAAAGGATCATCTGAATACATTTGCATGGCATCTCATGATTTTCAGTGAATTCTGAGGATAAATGATGGCCTACCCTTATGGTTTTTGACAGATATATGTCAAGGATAATCTATGTGTACTTGCTACTAGTTAGTGAACTAGATGATTGCCTGAGGTCTCCTCCAGCTGTGCTGCACTGGTAATGCCACTTGCGTTAAAGCATGAGTCAGAATACAAGTTTGCTTTCTTAAAATAAAAAGGAAGAAGGTTGCTTGTCACTATTTGTCGTTTCTGTGAACATAAGACACTCTGTGTCAAAAAACAGTCGTAACAGCTGTTAGCAGACACCTCAGCCTTTGTGGTTTTACACTACAATTTATCATCTTCATTCTATCTGCGTTTCACACACGCTAATCAAATCATGCCGAGTTTGTGGCAGGAGCCCTTGGTTTGTTTTTCTGTCTGATAAAAATGTGGACACTTCCATGCAGAAGCTGAATTCAGCATATTATGAACTTTGGTTTTTGTTGAACTCATTGGTTTTTGTTGTTGTTCTAGTTGAATTATAAGACTGAAAACATACACTTTGGTCTTCGTTCACTATTTGCAGCCTTTTGGAAATCCTGTTTTTGTTGTAATCTTCCTTTTTCACTTCCTCTGGACCTTTTCACAAGACTTGATTTAGGGCACATGCTTTCCCATCTGGTCTTAAGGCAGATACTGATTTGTTTTGTTTTGGTTGAAATTTTTTTTTTTTTTGAGCTACTCAGCCTCACTTTCCACCTGACTTTCAAGTATGGCTGCAGCGGGCACTGGCTGGGTATGTGGCCTAGGGGGGCATCCAGGGGTAGAGCAGCACATTAGCTGCATCCCTGCTGCCTGCTTTGCCTGTGCCAGAGGCCCGGAGAGCCAGGCCGGTGGCTGGCTGCTGCGGGAGGGCTGGGTGTGCAGGGATAGAGATGCTGCTGGGGAGGGACAGCTTTTCAGCAAGCAGAGTGGCAAGCTTGCCCTCCGGGGGCTCGCTCCCTCTCAGCACCCTCCCAGCTGGGTCCCCTTCCATGGCAGGGACCTTGTCCCCTCCTGAACCCCACACTTGAGGGTATCAAGCTTGGGTTTGCCTGATCCATAGGAGATGTTGCCCAGTGATGCTTTGTGTCCAGCTGCTGGGCGCTGGAGGAAGGCACTAGCTTTGCCTGTTACAGAATGGAGAGGGGACTCAGCCTTCGAACCCACGAACCACTGGTGTTGTGGTGTGTAATGCACTGGCCTACGGTGCAGACACAACTGTGGTAGCCACATGGGTTAGGACACCTGAGCTACTTTTGTTTGACTAGTTCACAGGTTTGGTACAGATAAAGAGATGCCAACACGTACTTCAGTGTTGCAGTTGCCAGTTCAAGCTGTGGTGCAAATGAAGTCTAAACCAGGCACAAACTGCAGAGGGATCTGTGGTACTTGCCTGGGGGAGGTCCCTGTATCTGGCATTGCTCCCTGACAACACGGGCTCACCTTCTTAAAACTGCATGAGAAGAGCATGCATGCCTTAGCAGGGAACACAGGTACCTAAATTAGCATGATCTTGCCCTACACTTTATCCAAGTTTTATCCAAGTTACTTAAAAGCAATTTAAGAAAGGTGCAGCTAATAGTATCAGGAAATGTAGTATCAGGAAATGTGAGCATCTATTCAGATGGCTCCTCTCTGTATGGATGAGTGAGGCCATATAATTATAGCAGTTTCATGGGTCTTAAGACCTTTTGGAGATGAATCATTAGCATGAACTCTGAAAGAGGGTACACTAATCCAGCTGGGTTCACTACTGGGTAGGTAGTCTGTGGGTTAGGCTTTTGGTGTTGTTCAGCCAAACCCCAACTCTATGGAAGCTAATCATATAAAACTCCAGTTGATGTCAATGAAAACAGCAGTTTCCCCAGTGACTTTAATTGGTATTTATTTGGGTGACGGTAGTAGCGGTATAGGTAATGACCTATAAGCATCACTGGTCTAGTTGCACAAGTTCTTGAAAGTTAGAATAGTAAGAGGGTCACATCTCCTTTTGTGAATCAGCAGGGTGTTTAGACATTTTTAATAGCCTCAGGATGGTTGCACCTCTAAAGTGGGTATGCAAATGTGAGTGTGACACAGCACCATTGATTCATGCTGCCAAAACATCAGCCCTAAAAGCTATTGGATTATAAGAGTTGTTTAAGGTTTATTCTCCCTTTTTCTCTGGCTAGATCTAGTCACTTTTCTGTGCAGCAGCTCTGCTCTGAAATGTTCTCAAATGTAGCTTAGTTTTTCATAGGTACCTTGTTTTAGCACAATTCATATCTGCCGTATAGCCTTTGTTCTACTCTTGCCAAACAAAGAAAAGAAAGGTGCTCTTCAGGTCTCTCCTCACCTTTATTCTTTTAATTTTTCCCTGAGCCTTTTCCTTTCTCCTGGCAAGGGTTTTTAAATTACTTGAGTGTTCCTAAGTGATCTGAAGTACTATGTTCTTTGACTAGAAATCAGGATATCTGGCACCTTATCTACACGTGAGCTGCCGTGAGATCTTCGGCATGCCATTGCACTTTTCAGTGCATTTGTCTGCCCTCTCTTTGCTTCTTAGCACTTCTCCATCCATAATGTCCTGGTTGGTTATGAGGAAAGTGGAAGTTTATATACATACATGTGTTTCTTAAAAGTCATCAAGCTTCTACTCTTACCTGCAACATTTCCTTAGGTGGTGTGATTGTACCCATGGCGGGTAACTCCCACAGGTTCAAAGCCGTGCAAAACCAAATTTTCACCTCTCTCTCCGCCCCCCCCCCCCCCCTTTTTTTTTAATCCTTTTGTAATGTTTTGAATGTTCTGCTGTGTGTGAGGCGTGGGTAGATGTTTCTGTGGTTCCCAGAGGAGGGAGGGTGAGGAGTGGGTGACAGGGGAAATGGGTGGTGTGGTCATGCAGGTGTTTAGGTAGTGTATAGAGGGAAGTCAAGTGAGTGGTCAAGTCAAGTGCACGGTACTATATAGGGCAAATATTTGCTGTCTATTTACACACAGTGTTCCTCAGTAGAAAAACTGCTCTTTGCATTTTAAATCTGACTTTCCGATCATTTTGCTTACCAGTTTTAAAGCTAGACTGAAAATTTGGATTGATTTAAAAACCACTGACCAAGTTTCATTCTCTGACAGAGTGCCACACAGTTTCACAATCTGGTTTTCTTTGCCTCAAATTGAGGGTAAAAGAAAGGGCATAATTTGGGGAACAGCTGTTCTTTTATATTCATATTAACTAGTTTATCTGTTTAGAAAGAAAATGGGGTATCAGATTCTGGGATCTCCATTGTAAGGTAAAAGACAGAGGTGGTGTTTTTTTTTTTTTCCAAAATTGACTAATGACTTTTGGATGCATCCAGTTATTTCCTGATATTATCTAATTAATTTATTTTTTAAGATCCTCCTGTTTAGAAAGTGAGTACTCAGCCCTTTCTGGAAATCAGTGCTTTGCAAAGGGATCTGCAACTAGGCATTTACAAATTAAAGCCTCTGAATTTAGTAATTACTTTGTGGGAAGCATTTTCTTTGAACACAAGATTCTTACCTTACCTCCCCTGTGCCC